TGCCAGCATTTCCCAATCAGGAATGTCTGCCGCCTCCTCCCCCAGACTTAATCAATGACAAAGAACATTATGAAATTGACCAAGTCTTAAACTATAAACTCCGAAAAATCAAAGCCAAAGGAGGTGGCATGATGACCACCATCAACTACTTGGTTAGCTGAAAAGGCTATGGGCCTGAATCAAACCAATGGGTAAATAAGAAACACATGGCAGCTGATGATGCAATACATGACTATGAATTATCCCTAAATTAAACTATCAGGACAATGGTCTTAAGGAGGGGGTAATGTTATGATTTCATTTATTTTTCCTCCCCTTTTCTTCTTCTCAACCCCTATTTATGCTTAGTCAAGGCATCTAACCCAGCACTTGGAGACTGTGAGACAAGGCTTAGTCAGCACAACAAGGCCAAGCAACCATTTGTCTTCAAATCATCAACAACAGTCAGCGATGCACAAAAACCCTTTTATGTACAGTAACAACAACCAAGGACAAAGGACAAAAGAGCAGAGAGATCCACAATAGTTACTGTAGCAATAATAGCATGACATGTATAGTATTTAAGGAGCTCACTCTTGCTGGCTAAAACCCAGCTTTGAGCTAAAGTTTACAACTACCATTCTACCTTGAGTCATATCGAGTATGAGTACACACTCAGTGGACTCAGCTGATCCCTTGAAGTGCAAAGGGATGGCTGTTTATCATGTGTATCTGCTCATGTGACACTTGGGCATAACAACACCATCAGTATGCAGAGTACTGGCTACTTACTATATACTCATACATTGATACTAGGATAATTATGAGGCTTTTATTTGTATTGTTCATGAGTGGTCTTTCATCTGCTTATTGAAATGAGCCAGGATTGAGAACAGTCTGGGTGGATGGAAAGCAGCAGAACTGGCATCTTGCACAGTGAATTGCTTCACTTGTCTATGCCTGGATGTTAATAAACCTATCAAGACAGATCCTGATTCATAAGTCTCCTGCTGAAACCAATATTCTGAGATTGAATTGTTTTCTTAGACCCAATGCTTGGAAGGATACTTTATTTGTTGGCATAGATGAAAATTTCAAACTAAAAAGGTTTGAAGTATCTAGTGAGGAAAAGGATTCTGGACTGGAGAGTGCACTAGCATATTTCATGGATATCAAGTCATTCAAGGAACATTTAAAAATGTTCAATAAACATATTTCACAGGCATGGAGTATCTGTAATGATCACAAGGCCATGAAGAGAGATAAGAAGACCTGGGCCTGATCATGAGTTTTGGCAGCAAGCAGAGTTAGAGGAGGAGGTCATTTGCATGCATCATGAACTGAAGCTCCTGCTCTCCACTGTGGATCTTTGGGTTGGTGAGATATATGTGCTCATTCCTTTATGTGAGCTGCACTCAATTTTGTCTTATATCAGACAAGTTGAAATAAATTATGGATATCTCACTGCTGTTAGGTGATTTAATAGTGTGCTGCATATTGTAACATCATGCAATATTGCCTGTCAGTGGTCAATCAATCTAGAAGACCAAATTAAGATCTATGGTCTTGTTATGGTCTCTCCACTCTGCAGCAAGCTTTACCTGGTCCTGAAATGTATGCATTGAGCCAGTAGAAAAGCTTATCAACAATGCCCTGCTTGACAATTGAGAGGCAGGGATTTCTGGCCATTCTCCCAAATAGAACAGTGCCAGAGATTGGATTGGATGTTTAGATGTATATCTCCTCCCAACTTGAGAGTGTGTAAAGGGCTGGCTGAATGGTGAGGGTTCTTTCCTCTTTCAGTTCTCTTCTTTATCACTCTCTTCTCTATAGAGCCCATGTGACATTGTAAGAAATAAAATTGATTACTGAACTTGTCAGACACATGCCTGTGAAGGTGAGAGCAATAGAGTTTTCTTTCAATATGTTCTTGAAAATTGTCCTTAGCCAAAGACCTTCAGATTAGAGTATGAGAAGTCTCAAGCTAAATGTCAGATTACAACCAAACAATCACAAATGCAATGCACTGCAACTGCAAGGGTCTGACCATAACTGAAGGTAAAGTAGGAGAATGAGAATGAGGATAAGGATATATAGAATGATGATAAGGGAAAGGAGGTATAGAGATTGATAGACTACAACTGCTAGTGTTAGTACTGAAGTGATAGTCACACCAAGAGTTTAGGAGTTTGATCAGTATATTGACCTTAGCTCAAGACTAGAGTATATCACTGTATATTACTGACTTAAATACTGTATCAAAAAGTCTTGGTTATCTCAAACCAAGTCTTTGCTAAGCATGATTTAAGAGCTAAAATTGTGACAACCAGAAGCTGATCTGCAAAGGTCTGGCTGTTCCTTCAAGGTGAAAGCCAGAATATCCTCTATAGAAAACATGTTAGAATGTGTAGGCTGAGCTTGTTTGGAATCTGCTTTTGTGGGTTGGGTGGATGTGGTGGACATGATTGAACCAAAATTTAGACTCAAGGTATTGACTTTGAATATACTGTTAGGAACATGCCAATAGAATGAAATTGATTATATGCATGAAGACCAGCAGAGGGTGAGAGTCTTGATAAGCTATTAGCAATGTCACCCTGGAGTCAAAGCCCAAAGGATTTAGATGCAGAGTGGAATGGTCAAGGATTAAGATTATTGGAGCAGAGTGGAATCCATCAGACTTGAGCCACTGAGATGAGGATGAAGTATTGGGCTAAACCAAGTTGATATTTGAACTGAGTATCTACAGTGATTGTATAAGGCTGATATACTAGAGGTAGCTAGTTCTGAGTCAGAGTCCAATTGGCTCTGGTCCTGTCTATTCACTATGAAAATCAGATTCTAGAATTAGTATGTGAAATTGAGATATGAAATGATAAGTGAAATGCAAGTAAAGTGGCATATGGTGAGTGGCCAGATCTTGATAGTTAGCTCCTTAGGTTGGAGATTTGAGAGTTGACATCAGTGTGAAGTGTGAAGTGGAGGCTATCAGCATGCATGTAACAGGCACCTTTATTTCAGACATATCTCCTCTCTCATTCCATGAAAATTTCCCACCACTCTCACCATCTCTCACTCACCCTAATACTGATCCTCAGGCTAATATGCACTCTCCTGCCTCACTGCTCATACCAACCATCTCCATCTCTCTTAATGCTGATGTGTGGTCCTATCACTTACAAGACTATCCTGACTGCCTGTTCATAGATACCATAATATATCCTATTTGTCATGGGGCAAATATTGAGTGTCAGAGAGACTACCACTCACAGTCATACATAAACCTTCACTCCTCTGCTGAGCACCCTGTCACTGTCCACACTGACATTCATGCTCAAGTCACTGCAGGCCACACATGTGGACCTTTTGATAAGCCCCCTGCTCTCATTTTTTCATTCCTCACTGCAAAGTGCCATCATGCATAGGCACCAATCCAAAATCTGTCACATATTCCATCTCTCATAGCCATGCAGGTCATCAGGCAATGATGGCATTCCTGATTCTGAAGCTTCAATAGCCTATGACACATTCAACAAAGCAGTTTGGGATCTAATCACCTCAGGATCTGGCTCACTGTTAGTCAAACTTGATCTGGAGCAAGGATTTCATCAGATCCCCATCCAGCTGGCTGACTGGCATCTTCAAGACTTCTTTTGGGAAGCCAAATTCTTCTATGTTCTGGTTCTCTGCTTTTGCCTTTGCTCAGCCCTCTACATCTTCAACCTCTTCACAGAGACCCTTCACTGATTCATTCAGCACCATATATCAGCAAATATGTGGCATTATCTTGATGACTTTCTGGGCATATTATCTCTGGTCCATTCCTATGGTACAGTGCAGAAAGCCTTAGACTGGATGCTTGCACTGGGACAACAATTGGGTCTACATTTTCAGCCATCCAAGATTGATGGACTATCAACAGTAATGGAGTTTCTGGGGCTCATTCTTGATTCAGTTAAAATGGAAGCCTGTTTGCCTCTAGACAAACTACCACACCTTTGCAAAATTCTAGAACTCTGGCATGAACATCAATCTGCCCCTTGCATAACTTGGATGAAGGAACTGGATATCTTCAGTTCTGTTTGCAAGTTATTCCAATGTCCTAAGCCTTCATTCATTCAATGTAGAACTTTGCATCCTCTTTTTCCTTGCTCTTTTCACAGCAATGCATTCCTGCTCCTGTATGAAGTGATATCAAATGGTGGCTCAACATTGCACTGCACTGGAATGGGGTACATCTCCTACAGCTGGAACATGAAATGATTCATTTCCACAGTCATACAACACTGGACACCAGTGATACTCCACAGCTGGTGAATATTGGATTCACACATACAATAGAGAAAGGAAGGCTACAAATCTTCTGATGGCAGTCGGTTGTTGTCTTTGTGTGCTCTGTGATGTCTGCTTGCTAAGAGGTGCACCATTGAGAGAAACTGGATTGGTCAGTTGTGCATTTGATCATGAACTCTGGAGTGCCGAGCACGGTCAACAAGCAGGGAATTAGCAGTATACCATGAGTCAATGATGATGAGAGCCACTGGATGTTACATGTTGATAGCATGAGAGCGAAGGGGTCCTGAAGGGTTCATTCATCGTATATCTAGATAAATTGATGGTGTATCTGTACGATATCCAGTAAGTAATCAACGGCCGCTGTTGTCAGAAAGAAACCTGACTCGCTACCAGGGGCCCTTACGGCAAGACACGCCTAGACATCTCCCACTGGTACCACCGTATGAGTATGTTCAAGACCATTGCATCGGTCTGTAACCTGACCAACACTGTCCGCTTCTTCTCTGGCTACATTGAGTACCAACAATACACGAATTATGCTTGAACTGCTGAACAATGACATGTTAGAAATGACAGCAATTATTGAAAGAAACAGTAACCATCGCTTTACATTGCAAGCAGGCACTTGCGGTGCTCGCATGGGAATGAAATGGTGATGATGAGAGTAGCGAGGAAAACTATCAAATAGCACGCACGAGCTTTTGACACATGAATGTGTTCAACGGACAGGAGAAATCCTTATACTTTTCTTTGGATTACGTGTATCCTTATTTTATGGCCGCTGAACTGGATATCTTCACTTTTACTGTCGTGACAGCCACTTTCGCTATGACATGTCAAGCCTACCGACACTTCCCCTCCCCTCCCTGGTCCTGTGCAGTCAAGTACCTTCGAGTCCACTCAAATCGCCCTAATCTTCCTGAAGCAAATGTCAGAAGAGCCGCTACAGGCCTGTGCAGGTCATGTGAAGGGACGGATGATGTCGTCAACTGTCAGGAACGTCTGAATCATCTCTTTACGATGTATGTCCACATCACCCTCTATGATATCGGAATGACAGGCGCCTACCACTGGGCCCTCATTCCAACTAGTGGCAAGAGGTTCACCCGTTCGCTGAAGTCGTACCAGATCAACAATCCTAACCGGGATTCATTCTGTGAGCTAGCGCATATCATCGAACCCAATCTGGCTAGTACGGATAAATTCAACTGCTGTGTCCGTCTTCTCTCCATCAATCTCCCAATCTCTGACATCCATGCCTTCATGGAAGAACAAAACGCAGAGCGAGGCGAGACGCCGCTATTATCGACACATCTTCAACGTGGGTGGACGTCCGCGCAATGGTGTATTCGGATACTATCTGAACTCGTTGAGTCGGGTTTCTGAAATATACCATTGAATACAGGCGACCTACAGAGCCGATTCTACCAGAGAGCTCGCCTTGGGGATGTTGGGTGAAAGTTCTAATTGGCCTGGGATACCTTCGATGGAATACGAGTAATTGATTATGATTTCACCATGACATGAGAAATCGGTTTGTGATACATGCGTGTTTTTATCTTCCGCAGCTGATTCCTCGTTCTCTTTAAATCCGAAGGGATGAATGCGGGAGACGGGGCCTATGAAATCTAAAATATACTCTCAGAAAAATCAGTCGAAATCTACCATGACTAGAGGCTACATTAGAAGCTATCGACGGACAATGCTAAATAGTAGACTGTGTTTACAATGCATCACCAATTTAACCCCTTTACACCTCCGTGCCGAAGCCGACCGTGTTGAAATCAAATAGATATGTCTCCAGCAACGGTTGCGCCATTGTTCCTTCTGGAATTTCCAAAAGAATTAAATCCCTTCCGGCTTCCTTCGCGAGCGCCAAAGCAGTGTTCCACTCCTCAGCAGATACGGTTTCAGTAGTGCGGAACTCTTTGTCCGTGATGACATACAATTTCCTTGGAACTTGTGTGTAATCCGTGACAGTGAGCAAAACAACGAAGCCGTCCGTGCCCCTCCGCTTTTCCAACTTCTGTTTTTGAATAAGTCCAGCATTCTCCTGGATGTCTTTTTGAATAACGGCATATGCGAAATGGCGTTCGCGCTTCGACATGGGCATGGGGAGACGATCTGTGAATGATCGTTAAAAACATCGACCGGAAGTTATTCATAGAAAGCAAGAACTGACCTCGAAGACCATCTTGTATCATTCGACAAACATTTTTATGACCATCGCCCCAATCCAGTTTCTGGCACTCTTTCGAGCAATAGTACTCGAAACAGCAGGCTTCGCAACGTCTGAGCGTACGCTTGGAGCCGTCATTCGTGTGCGGACACTGGATAGGATCTATGAGCGATGGGCCATTGGAAATTATAAGAGCTCACAGCAGGATACGAGCACTTTGTCAGTTCACACCCGGAAGCCATATAATCCTTGAGTATACCCCAACGTGTCTCCGTGGTCTCCTTTAGTGCGGTCCAAGCATCGCCAACCGGTCCTGCCTCAGAAATGCCAGGTTTTAAATCGGCCGCATATAAGACCTTCCACATTTTTGCGAGTACAGTGCGATAGAGTGTGTACGATGTCATCAAGTGCAGCAACGGAACAAGACTCGCCTCGTTATCATAGGCGTCCACTTTTGACTGTGCCTTTAAGAGTGCCGGTATCACGTCAGCGTCCAACCCTTCGATTATTCGACCAGAACCCTCCTGAAACACTCGTAGCAAGTAGAATAACGAGAATTGAAGCAGTCTGGAGTAAACGGCCAGTTCATCGGGAGAGCACGTTTCCTCTTTCTTAGCCGCGATACCAGCAATCCGTCGACAGATCCACGACACAGAGTCGCATGAGATGAAAGTTCGGGTGAACGGATGAGAATACGTCGTGCTAATGACTAGGAACATGATGCCCCCGTCGTAGTCCGCGTCAGGCTCCCGTTCGCGAGCAACAATACGAGTGCAGACTTCTTTTACATTGATAGGGTTCCGAACCCAATTAAAAGCGTTCGAAAACTCCTTCTGAACCCGATTAACAGCGTTCGAACCCTCGCTATCGACAGTGGGTTTCTGCAGGATGAGCATCATGATTACCCTGGCAATATTCTCGACCCGACCATGTTCTGCACGAATGCCGCATATCCACAAGACGGTCATGGAAAAAACGAAACCTTTGATATCTCGCATCTTTGCACAGTAATCAGGGTCGGTGGCTACGGTGCCGAGGAACTCCACAATTTGAACCGTTAAGGCCACTGCCGACGTAGAAATGTGGATATTCGCGTCGATGAAATAGTGCTGGAAAAATTTGATAGCCCAAAGACATATCTGGCGACAAGTGATCACTAATCCAGCTGATTTGGAAAGTTCGAGAGCTTGTGGCGATTGAAGAGCAACATTAAGCGCATGAAAGTAAGATCTGGCTCTGTCGAATGTTTTGAAGAAGTCTTCAGGAGATAACTTGTCTATCATCTCTGGTGGCGGCAAGTAATTCAGAAATACACGAACGACCTGGGCGAGGTGAGGTAACACGGTGGAATCGTCGCGGGCAAATTCTCCCAGCAGAACAAGAGCGTCGCCTGAGCCACTGAGAGCCAACTCCTGCGAAATCGCGTTGAGCAAAAGGTACAGTTATGTGGTTGAACACTGACCCTCAGTGAGTCCATTGTAGAGAGAAGTTTGTACCGAAGGCTAATTCTGCTGAAAAACACGCGGCGGGCACGCTCTTCACTGGCAGGAGAGTCGAACAAAGTAAGCTCAGAACAAGGGAAATGCCGAATTTGGCCGAGTCCATAGTCCAACAGTATTGGATTTAGTAACTATATCGATACCGACCAGCCATGCTGAGTCATGTAATAAGTAGATAATGTCTGATTGAGAAAGTTAATCATGCGGTTCTTATAACGTTGAAAAAGCGGAATCACGACTCACCTTGAACCATCTTGGGTCCAGTTGATGACCCAGCCCACTAAGTACTCGGAGATACCAATGGAATTCGAACCAATGCCATGCCTCTGATGCATCTGCCATTGCCGAGCATCTGCGTATTAACCGAAACGTAAGAGTTGTCAAATGGAACGCTCGAGGCATGGGCGGCAGCGAAGGCGGAAACGAGCTTTCAGGGTTCTTAGAATGGATGGGAGCACGTAACTGTAGTGACTATAAGGTACGGGAGGTTGTCTCCTCCAGGTATACGGCCGCTAAACATATAAAAGGATATATTTCAAGAGCAAGTCCAGAAATTCGTGAACGATTTTCCGTCCGCAAGGGGATGTGATCTGTTCATCTGCGTATGTTCACCAGTGCAGTCCAGGTCAATGGTTACTGACTCGTCCATACAGGGATACTCCGCAGGCGCCATTTACGCCACGACTATTCGTTTCTCGGGCGACCTATATGATCGATGCTGTCAAGTCTTTAGCAACCCTATTAAATACATCCTCGTCTCTTATCCAATCGGCGTTGCATGGGCACTGGGACTTGGGCTCACTGGATGGTACTTTCGAGCGCTCGAAGGACTAGTGGGTGGTTACTGGGAAGACTGTCCACATGAACGTCCCGCGGACGTGCTAATCCTTATGGGCGGAAACGAGGTTGGGGGATGGTTCAACCCCGCACAATGGGCATATAATATGCGGATCGGTGTATTGGTCGGAAAGCATCGTCTGGAGCAGGGGAAATTTGGGAAGGTGACGGTTGATGGGGCGGATCATATATGGAACGGAAAATTGCCTCACATTGGGGAGGAAATTGAAAAGTGGATGAATGAATAATTATAATATTACGATGGTTAGTTTTCCAGCAAAGAACGGTAGATATGAAAATTCTTTAACTATTCTCATGAGAGTCGTATTTTCGGCCCACATGAGAAAGATCTTGGTGCAATGTAGTGTGGGCCAAGTGCTA